GGAGGATACCCCCGGACCCCCCTACAGGGTTCTGGTTTCCAGACCTTCAGCCCCACCTACTATTTTTCTCACCAGCCGCCACTGGTCCATCCATTATCTATACACCGCTTAATCCTCACTAGGGTCGCGGGGTGAAGGCAGGGGACACCCTGGACAGGTCGCCAGTCTATCGCAGGGCCACACTTAGAGACAGACAACCAAGCACACTCACATTCACACCTATAGACAATTTAGAATCACCAATTAACCTGGGAAGAAGCCGGAGAACATGCAAACTCCAAAGATTCCAGTGCCCCACCGGGACGCGAACCGGCAACCTTCTTGCTGCGAGGCAACAGTGCTACCAACTGCGCCACCCTGCAGCCCTCATAGGTAAGTGTTTCCTGAAATTTCCTGAAATGTCTCATTAAGGTCCTCATTCAGGACAATGATGAGACCCACTATGGGGAGAAGATCCAGCATCTGACCTGGTGGTGTTCAGACAACAACCCTGTGCTGAACACCAGCAAGACAAAAGAGGTCATTGTGGATTTTAGGAGGTCCAGGAAGACAGAGCGCATGCCACTCCACATACAGGCAGTGGAGCGTGTGGACAACATCAAGTTCCTGGGAGTACACATCATGTGGGAATGTGGTCTTTTTGTTTGTATTTGCATGCTTTTCTTTGCCATTTGATTGTGTTTGTTGCATGTATTTTGAGTTCTGTTGGATTTACAGCCTGAAATTTACTTTATGTTGGCCACGCCCACTACCGAGAATCCCAACAGACCTGGACACTGAGCACACCTGCACCTCGATTGCAGCGGTGGCGCGAAAGCGCAATCAAGAAAACAGGACACAGCCGGTGGACACCGGAGAGAGGACGCACAGAGCGTGGAACGCGAGGATAGAGCCAGAGCAGCTGACGGACCGGGAGACGACGGCCCCAAGAATACACGGAGAGCAACAGAGGGTCGAGCCAGCAGGACGCGTTGTGGAGCATTGGAGGGAGAACGTGCGGCAACCCCCCTCCTCTCAGCTCAGTGCTCCTTTTGATTTTATTTTTATTTTACTCTCCTGCATGCACTCCTGGCTGCTTAGAACTTGTTGATCCAAGCCTCTGAGTACTGACGGCGACTGTTTTACTCTCACTCAGAACGCGTGAGAGCCGGACCGGAAGCAGAGCGGATTGTGACAAGGCCAAGACTCCACGTATCTGGACGCCTGACTCATCTTAATATTTTATTCTTTTTTTAAAGTGTAATAAATTTTGTTGGACATTTTAATCTTTGGTTTTATTACACTGCTCACCCCTGGATCTGAATCTTGTTTTTAAATGGGTCCTAGTGCCTCATTAGGTGGCGTTGTCTTTTATCATCATTTTTAAAGTTGTTAATTTTTTTTAGAAAGTTTTTTTTCTTGCACCCACCACTCTGCCACAATCACATCTGATGTGACTTGGTCCCAGAATACATCCTCCCTGGTGAAGAAAGCTCAACAGAGACTTGTTTTCCCGAGGAGGCTGAGAAGGGCTGGACTCTCCTCGAAACTCCTCAAAAACTTTTCCAGAGCCACAATAGAAAGCATCCTTGGTGCTACAGTGTGGTATGGGAGCTGTACAGCACAGGACAGGAAGGACTTGGCCCGGGTGGTCAGAACAGCTCAGGGAATTGTGGGATGTCTCCTACCTGATCTGGACTTGGTTTACGCTGGTTGAGTCCAGAGGAGGGCTAGGTGCCTTACCACAGATCCCACCAACCCAGCCAACAGACTGTTCGTATCGCTCCCCTCAGGAAGGAGGTTCAGAGCTATTAGGGCTAGAACACAGAGACTCAAGGACAGTTTCTACCCTAGAGCTATGAAAACCATCTCCCCTGCTGACACACACGACCCACTACCTCACAGCCTGGACACTTCACCATTGCACTTTTTTAAAGTTTTGCAATGTTTATATTTATATATATATCTTACACTTTATTTGTGTCAATTACTTTCCCATTTGTATTTATACTTCAAAGTCTATTTGTGCCATTTTTCTTCTTTTTGCTGGAAGCTGACACTTCCAACTGCAATTTCACTGTGTATGTAACGTATGCATAATGACAATAAAAAGGATTCTGATTCTTCTGCCTCATAAATGTCTGCTGAGTGCAGACGCTAGTGTTGCATTCACACTTATTTCTCCACTAAACTACAGAGACTCAAACCAAACAACAGCATCAATGGCTGATTTGACCTGTAGTTTCTCATTTTTTCTGACCACAGTGAGGATCAGGGAAGTGTAAAAGATTCAACAACACTCTGGTACACCAGCATAATGCTTGACATTTGCACACCCTCCTGTCATGACTCAGCCTGCCGACAGTGGCCAGTGATGGTCAGGTAGCTTCGTTCAACAATCAGTAAAAAAAAATTACTTCTGGACCAAATATTGGTGTCATCAAATGTTCTCAAAAAATAGTCTTTAAACAGCTTTCAGATTCTAATGGGGATATTGTTTATTCAATGCAGAGGTTTCAAGAATAAACATGAGCAGACCTCAAGATTGAACTATCTAAACAATGCATTACAACTTCTCATATACTTTGCAACTTCTCCAACTCTCCTCCTTCTCCTGTAAAACCACAGCCAATTATTTTTTAAAAGACCAATCAAGGTGTCTCTGCCACCATTTTGTTTGATTTTAGTCATGTCTGAGGGTGTATGGTCTAAGCATGGCAGATTTTCAGCTACCTCCATTTTCAAAAAAACACCATCCTTCAACTTGCACCTGTGTCCACGTCATCTACTGCTTACCTTAGAGAGAGCATCCCCTGTCTAGCTCGTACAAAAGAGCATGTATGCCACTATCATCTGTCCTGCACCTGCAACCGCTGTTTGTTCTTTTTTTTTTTTAATCATCTTGGTGTTATTCATTGTGGGACAGAGTGAGAGTGCTGCTTTCCAAACTGGACTCATCGTGGACAGCTAAAATCTAAAGGAAGAATTAAATGTTATCAAAGACCTTATTAAAGTTTAAGTGCCTGTTTCAGTGGCTGAATCAGTTTTTTTCTTCCCCTTATGGAAAATCACGAAGAGAACATTAAGAGGGATCCACAAAGTAAAGATGATTGATGAAAGGAGAACAATCAGCAGCTGCAAAGAGTTTTATTCCATGTAGAATAAATGAAACTAAAAGGAAACATGTTGATCTTTCTATCTTACCAAAGAAAAGAGCAGCAAGAATAATCCACAGCCAACGTTCCATGTGTACCACAAGTTTAAATCAGCAGCAGAGCTGAGCTGATGTTTGAGATTTGTTCTCTTCCCAGCAGCGTTTCTTATTGACTCAATTGTTAAACACAGTGCAGAAGTCATGTAGCACCTCCTTGATAATGTGGCCCTCTAGTGGAGCTAAAAAGCTGAGTTCAACAGCGGAGGAAAGACTTTTAGCAACTTGTCAGAGTGTCAGCTTGTGTTTTTGTACAGAGTTTTGTTGTTTCCTGTCACTGTGGGCCTCAGAGCACAGTAGTACACAGCAGAGTCAGACAGCTGAAGCTTCTGGATCTTCAGAGACACTGATGTCTTGTTGAGTTTTGCATCATATCTGTCTTTATGGAACTCTGGAGCATTATCATCTCCACCATAAGTACTACGTCTTAAAATGTACTTTGGAAAGCGAAATTCTTGTTTGTACCAGAACAAATCAGAACTTGTAGCAGTTGTCTCAAAAGTACATCCCAGTATAACTGTGTCTCCTTCAGCAGCAATGACATCTCCTGGTGGCTGAATCACTTTATCTTCTCCTTTACACTCTGGAGAAGAACACAACATGCAGAGGAAGACATGAATCAATAAAGATGATTGATCAAAGGAGAACAATCAGCAGCTCTAAAGAGTTTTATTCCATGTAGAACAGATGGAACTTTGTGATCTACTAGTTTTTCTCAGTCAAACTCTGTTCATGTTAAATATGTCACCTACCTCTTATTGTGAGCAGAAACAAAGTGACAAACAGACTCAAGTTCACTGACAGCATCTTGAAGATGAAGACAATCTGTCTGTTTTGTGGATCGAACTCCACTGTGAAAGTTTGTGTGTTTTCTGTACTTGAGTCCCAGTTTAGCTCCTCCCTTCATCCTTTCCTCCTTCCTCTCACAGCTCTGACTAACAGTGTGTTTGTCTCTGCTGCTGCTCTCATTCACTCACTAACTGAAGATCATTGGAGGAGAATAACATGTACAACTGTGTGTTGTCTGCATGCGAGTGTTTCCTGACAACATCATTAAGCAGATGCATGTATTTGTTAAATTGCAGAGGTTCCAGGATAGAACCTCTTCAGCATCTGAGGTTATTTGTCTTTTGAGAACTGAAAGAACCACCAGAAAAAAAAAGTCTTCAAGAGGATCAAAGTCGCTCTGAACTGAATCATGAAGCAGTCTGACAAGTGGAACTGTTGATTAGAACTGGATAGTTAAAGATGTTGACTAGAACTGAAACTGCATCCCTGAGGCTGCTCTGGTTATTGTCTCTCATGAACTACTGCTCACATCAGGTGGAGGTCTTTACTTTGAATTCTCCTGACTTGCCCTAACCTGTGATGCACCTGACCATAACATTTGAATTAAGCATGTGGAAATCTTCTCTTTGGCATCAGTTATGTGACTCTATAGCTGTTTGTTTCTTACAGGACATATAGATATGTAACAGTAAAAACTAGCAGGCATCGTCTTCCTCACCTGCAGAGTTCCACAGGGTTCCATTCTGGGTCATTTATTGTTTTCCATTTATTGGCACTCATTGGGACTGGTCTTCAATAAATATTCACAATCACCATTGCGCCCATGACACACACGCTGTATGCTCCCTTCAGTCTCACCAACTCCAAACAGAAATGATCAGAATCTCTCCTTCTAGCTGATGGAACAATGCAGATCCTTTTTGCGTATATGTTGGGTTCATTATCCTCGGATGTTAAACAAGAGGCCTGAAATCTTAAGTTGTCTTCAATTCTTGTCTCTTCCTCAATGCTCAGGTGACAAAGTTTTTACAGTTGTGTTTCATTCATCTCGTGCTGATCTCTGAGGTCAGATACTTCCTGTCTTTTTCAGACTTTGAAATACTCAGTCATGCCATCATCAACCCTAAATGTTGACTATTGTCATACAGTTTACTGTGATATCAGTGAGGAAACATTCACAGGCTTCAAATTATCCAGAATGCTGCTGCTCAGTTTTGAACTCATTCCAGTAAAGTAGCCAAATTAATCCAATTTCTACAGGCCTTGGCTGGTTACCAGTTAGTTTTAGAACCTATTTGAAGATTTTGTTGCTTGTTTTAAAGCTTTATACACTCAGTCAGTAACTCATTTGTTGTGTTTTAACTCCTTATGAGCCAGTTGGTTTGAGTTTGTTTGAGATCAACTGGCTTTATGAATCTTTCATCAGTTAATTGTCAACTATTAAATTAATAGCTAACAGTTTTGATAATATCTTTGAAAATATCTCTCAATGACAAAATCAGTGTCTTCCTTCAAAACATTAAAGAAAACTTTCTTTTATCATCAGGAGTGGTACCTAAATGTGATTTCAGCCCCAACCCACCAAATCCTCCCTGACAGCAGATACTGAGGAGGGTCCTGTTTTGACCCCCTTTGACTGAGTGGCTCCTGATGGATGATTTAACTGTTCCATCTCCAGCATGTTTGTGTGATAACTGTGTTTCCCCAGTTAAAGTTGTCTTTCCCCATCCTGTTTGTATTTTGGTGCTGTGAAAAAGTTGTTTTTGGTTGAGCCACTATTTTATCTTGTGTTCTCAATAATGTAACTCTCAGTCTCATTTCTACTGTAGGAAAAGTTAAATATGAATACATACTTTATAAAATGGTCAAATTTCCAGTTAAACTTAAATTTTGACTGAAGAAGACATTGTTGATTAGACTGATCCAGTTTACTTTAGTGTAGTTTATTTTAAACTGTACATAAAATCCAGACTAAGTCCTAACAAACAAGAGAAGTGTAACTGAGTGTGTCTCCCTCTAGTGGATGTTGTGGAGTTTTCTGTTGTCTTTGCTTCAAAGGTTTTTGTACAGAGTTTTGTTGTTTCCTGTCACTGTGGGCCTCACAGCACAGTAGTACACAGCAGAGTCTGTCACTGCAGCAGAGGAGATCTTCAGATCCATTTGGGTTTCTTGTTTCTTCACTGTAACAGACCGTCCAGGGACTGGATTCAAAAGTAATTCTCCCGATTCTGAATGAGAGATCAGGAATTCTGGAGGTTTTCCTGGATGTTGCCGATACCAGAAGAAATAATCAGCAGAACCTTTGGTGTATTTGCAGGTCAGAGTCACAGTGCTGCCTTCTAAACTAGACTCTTCATCCTTCACTGCAGTCAGCTGTTGACATCTGACACCTAAAGGAAGAGATAACTCTGTTGTTATTATTATTATTATTGTTAAACAAAGTTTATCAGAGCTTTTGAGATGATGAAATGAATCACAATGTTCTTCTGTTGTATCAAGTAACACACCTGTTAAGATGTAGAGAAGCAACACACAAAATCCACAATAATCCAATGACAGCATGTTGAACAAATTTAATGTTTCTGGTTTGTGTTTTAAAATGTGTTGAATGAGGAAGTTTGTGTCTCTTCTATAGTTCAGTAACAGCTCAGCTCCTCCCTGAATCCCTCCGCCTCCTCTTTGATCTGTAGTTTCTTCTCTCTGTTACTCTTCATTCTGACTCTAAGCAGGTTTACATCAGTGTAGACACAACTGTGTGCGATATACTGTCCTTTAAATATATTAAGTTTAGGAGCTGAAATATAACTGGGTTAATGTAGAAGTAGAACAAAACTTTCACATGTTCTAAAGTTATAAAGCATTTCGCAAGTATGACAATACAGATGCTGAAAATCCTTGACCAACAATTTAGACTAGTGTAAAGGTTTTCCTCTTCTCTAATACTGTTTGATCTTCATGAACAAACCAGTTACAAACCTGTAATGACCCACATTGTTTAAAGATGCAGAATTTGGCTTATTATTTACTTTTTTTCAGTTGTTTTTTTCTGACTACGGCAAAGAAACTCCAACAACAACATACTTGAGCAATCGATACAAGAGTAACAGAGTGTGTCTCCCTCTAGTGGATGTTGTGGAGTTTTCTGCTGTCTTTGCTCCAAAGGTTTTTGTTCAGAGTTTTGCTGTTTCCTGTCACTGTGGGCCTCACAGCACAGTAGTACACAGCAGAGTCTGTCACTGCAGCAGAGGAGATCTTCATAGTGATTTGGTTTTTATCACCACTCACTGTAGCAGACAGTCCAGCTTTTGATTCATTTTGTGATCCATAGTGAAAGATGAGGAACTCTGGAGGTTTTCTCGGTTGTTGTCGATACCAGTAAAACCGGTCAGCACCAGTAGCTTGTTTGGAGTATTTGTAGGTCAGAGTGACAGTGCTGCCTTCTAAACCGGACTCTTCATCCTTCACTGCAGTCAGTTCTTGACAGTTGACACCTAAATGAAGAGATAAACGTTGTGAAAGACCATATCAAAGTGTGAACTCCTGTTCTGGTGATTCCTTTAAAAAAGTTCCTTTCTAGGCATTTCTTCTTCCTGCTTAAACCAACCTTTTAGTGTGATCATCAACAAAGGAAACACGATCATGCAATGCAGTGACAGCATCTTCCACATACTATCTTTTATGTTGGTTTACATACTGAATGTATGTGACAGTGGGAGTCCTTTTGCTGCTCGTTGACAGTGTTGCTCCTCCCTGAACATGTTCCTCCTCTCATATCACTGGATGTTCTTCAGTATTGGGTTGTTTCATCACTGAACAACTTGACGTGAGTTCTGTCATGAAACTGGGTCGTCCATATGAAGGGGAGATGCAGCTGTTTTTGAACCTGCTGTTCTTTGAGCAGAGAAACACAGAAACATTACTGTTTCAGTCCTGATGGTTTAAGGCAGGAACATCCTCCAACAAGCTGCTGCTGTTGGTTAAACTTGATCCTGCTTCTGTAGAGGTGAGACATAAAAAACAAGGGTATAGAGTCTGTACTTTAGGAGCAGAGCTTTGGTTCTGTCTTCCTATTTAAATTCTGGGAAATAAATAATATTCCACAACATCTCATCATCATCAGAGCCACACTTCTGTTGTGTTTTACTGCAGTGAGGAATGCTTTGTTGACTTCCATTAAAGTGATAAAGGAGGTCTGAACTTCTCAGACTTGAAACTCAACAGCAACAATGGGGAAAACAGATGTTGATTAGATTTCTTATCTGTGTAGAGCCNAGATGAGGAACTCTGGAGGTTTTCCTGGATATTGGCGATACCAGTAAAACTCGTCACTAACAGCAGCTTGTTTATAGTATTTGTAGGTCAGAGTGACAGTGCTGCCTTCTAAACTGGACTCTTCATCTTTCTCTGCAGTCAGTTGTTGAGAGCTGACACCTAAATATAGAGATAAATGTTGCAAAAGACCATATTAAAGTGTGAGCATGTGTTCCAGCAATTTCTTTTTTAAAAAATCCTTTTTTGGCATTTCTTCTTCCTGCTTTAACCTACCTTTCAGTGTGATCACCAACAAAGGAAACATGACCCAGTAATGCAGTGACAGCATCTTCCACACACCATCTGTTATGTTGGTTTACATACTGAATGTATGTGACAGTGGGAGTCCTTTTGCTGCTCGTTGACAGTGTTGTTCCTCCCTGAACATGTTCCTCCTCTCATATCATTGGATGTTCTTCAGTATTGTGTTGTTTCATCACTGAACAACTTGACGTGAGTTCTGTCACGAAACTGGGTCGTCCATATGAAGGAAAGTTGCAGCTATTTTTGAACTTTTGCTGAGACACAGGAACATCCTCCAACAAGCTGCTGCTGTTGATTAAACTTGATCCTGCTTCTGTAGAGGTGAGACATAAAAACCAAGGGTATAGAGTTTGTACTTTAGGAGCAGAGCTTTGGTTCTGTAGTTATATTTAGATCCTGGGATATAAATAATATTCCACAACATCTCATCATCATCAGAGCCACACTTCTGTTGTGTTTTACTGCAGCAAGGAATGCTTTGTTGACTTCCATGAAAAGGATAAAGGAGGTCTGAACTTCTCAGACTTGAAACTCAACAGCAACAATGGGGAAAACAGATGTTGATTAGATTTCTTATCTGTGTAGAGCCACGTTATCAGAAAAACACAAAGCAGAGCAGAAGGAATCCTTTCAAAGCCAGGATGAGGCCTCTCTGCTTGCCATGATGATCAGGTTAACAGCAAGCTGGAACCACTGAATGACCTGGGACCACCTTAGCTGTGACTCACTGGAGAAGGATGAAGCATAAAGACTAACTTTTGTTTTTCTTGAAACAAGAGACTGGTCTTCTATGATTAAGGAGGGGCTGGAAACAAAACCAGCTGTTTTTTTTGTTTTGTTTTTTTTCCCCAATTGATCGTAAACAAAACCAAACTTGTCCATTGACAGAAAAAAATGGAGAGAAGATTTCATGAATGGTTTTAATTTGGTTATGTTGACAAGAACTTTCCATGTCTTTTTGAATTAAAATAATTTGTATTGCCCCTACGGGATAAAGTTATTTCAATTAAACTGATTTGAATGTCAGCTGGTATCAGTCATATTTCAGACTTCCTGGAGTCAATAGAAGCAGAAACAGCTGATCAGTCACGAGACTTAAGTTAAAGTTAAAGTTAAAGATAACGATAAACTTTATTGATCCCACAGTGGGGAAAGTTCACCGTTACAACAGCTCCAAAAGAAAAAGTGTACAGTCAGTGCAAGAATAATTTAGAAACACACAGTGTAAATTGTAAGAAAAAGAAACAGAAACACACACTGAAAAAACTGCAAGAGAAAAACATTATATACAGAAGATTTTTTTTTTTTTTTTTAAGAAGATTATATACACAAGATGAGGTAGCAACAGTTGCACATAGTGGAGTGGGTTTGTTGGTAGTAAAAGTGCAGCAGTAACAGAGGTGCTAGTGGAGTTTATAATGCAGCATTGTATGTTAAATAAAGATGCTGCACAATGCTGCCATTACAGTCTGTTACACATTACGGTTGCCAGTGTTATTCTTTGCCTTGTCCTCTGTTTGGAAGTATCAATTAAAATCAGCAAATATAGAACTCTAGATGTGTAATACCAACTTGTCAGTAAGGGGAACTACATTTATTTTATTATTGTTCTCAAGGACAGTTTCTCAAGTGATTGTACTTTACATGAGTTCTTTTACACCATTCCATTGAAAAACACATTTTAAAATAATTCCTTCAGAAAAAGAAAATCTAAAAATAATCATTATACAAGTCAGGGCTGCTGCTTTTGATGACACTTTAGCACTTTTTTTCAGTTTTTAATGAATTATATTGACTTGTTTTTTTTTTTTTACATCGCAGTTACTTTATTTGATTATAGTCTTGTAACATGAGTGTCTTCTTTTAAATCACTTCTTAAAACTCATATTTATAGAATTACTTTTAAGTGATGTCTTCTATTTTTGGTGTCTAATTGATTTTTTGATGTATTTGTCCAATTTATTTTTTTAGTACTCTTTATTTATGTACTTATTTACACATTTATTTCACCTATTTACTATTACTACTGTTGCTATTATGCTTAGCCTTGTGTTCATGGTCCTACCGTCCATTTTCTTTTATTCCACTTGTTATTTTTCCTTACTTGGATAGTTTTAGTTCTTCTATTATTTCCTGTGGTGTTGTTGTATTTATTAATTTTGCGATTTTTTTTTTTACCATGTGTAACTGTATTTCTGCTTCTGTTTGGACTGACCAGCCTTCTATTGTTTAATGTTCTTCCTAAGTTTCCTTCTTTTTTGCTCTGTCTGTAAAGCCCTAAAAGGTGTACTATAAACCAATAAGTCATTATTGTTATCTATCCATCCAGAGCTATTTAACACTGGGCAATGAAATTGTCTCGTTTGCACACTCCCATATAGATAATAATAAAAATAAAATAATAATAATACATATATGTATAAAAACAGACAAACAAACAAACAAAAAATAAAACAATAAAATAAATAGATACAAAGGAATAAAAAAGAGACAGAAACTAAGGTGCATATACTATTTACAAGTAGTGGCATCATTGAGGTGATGTAGCAGCAGATAAACATTTAAAGTGCACAGTGCCTGGTGACACATGTTAACGGAATTGTACATTGAGCATTGAACATGCAAACTCCACGCAGAAGGATCCCAGTTATCAAATCATATTTCAGTGTGTCAGACTTGGAAAGTTCCATGGATTCACACTCCGACCAGCTGGTGGCGGAAATGACGTACTGAAGAAGAAGAAGAAGAAGAAGAAGAAGAAGAAGAAGAAGAAGAAGTTTACCGGAAGACGGTTGTGTTTTTATCTCAGACCAGTGTTTTTAGCAGTCTAAGTAACGATGAGTTCCTTTCAGAATCTGAGAGAGATGGTCAACGAGCGATTGACTGCTGCTGCTGAAGAAATATTCACAGAGTTTGAGAAAACCATCGTCCAGTACGAGGAAGAGATCGATCGTCAGCGCAGACTGCTGGACAACATCTGGAAACCACAGACAACGATACACACGACAGGTATGTGGAACTGTGATGATCTGGATGCAGGAAACAGAAGAGAAATTGACTGAACTTTTGGGTCACTGCAGAATTTATATACTAGGGAACTAATAAACCATAAAAACTTACAGCGGACTGACTAATATGCTAACGGGTTAACTAGCAAAGGTAACAGTACAGTAAACTGACAAGCTAACGGGACAACAGGACGTGTACTTGTGGTGTTTGGAGTTTCTGGAAGAAGTGAATCGTTCAGGACATAACAGTGATCATACCTGCTCTGTGCCTTCCTTTATAACCAGTCCAGTGTTTTTATCTGTTGACATGGCTTTAAAGACACAGTTCAACTCACATAATCCAGCCAGATAGAGAAGACTCAGTTTATTATTCGCATAATCAAAACAAAGTCTATAACCTTCTGTAGATACTTTAGTGGGGTCTATTTTGTAATTATGGCAGTAATGGTAAATGGTCTGCACTTAGCGCTTTTATACTTTAGTAGTACTCAAAGCGCTTTACAGAGCTGCCGTGTAAGGCCTGCCATTGGGAGCATCATCGGGTTCACTGTCTTGCCCAAGGACACTTGGACTGTGGAGGGGCGGTGGAGATTCACCAACCCGCTCTACCACCTGAGCCACAGACGTGCACCGGGAGTGTTCACTATTTATGTAATGCATTCATTAAATGCAAATACTTCTCAAAACATATTTAAAAAATCAAAGTGGCCTGCCGCTTGAGTGTATTTAGATTTATGTTCGTATAATTAGCATGTATTACTGTTTTTTCAAAGTGAATACTGACCTAAAATTTGATTTTAAAAATTTGATCCCAAATCATATTGCTGTACAACAAAATTGCAATTAGATCTTTTGCTCAAATCATTAAGCTCAAGTTAAACTAAAATATACTTTTTCAGATGTGTGTTTTTTTTTTTACACATCTTGGGCACCTCCTCTTGGAGGTTTTACATCAAGTCTAGCTGGGAGGAAATCCTGGGGTCAAATGCACTGATAAGACCATATACAGTGTGTCATCAGGCTTAGGAAACACCTCTGGATCCCCCAGGAAGAACTGGAAAATGTTTGTGGGGAGAGGGATGCTTGTTTCGACTACAATCCAACTCTGGATAATAGGAAGAACATAGATGAATAAATGCTTGTGTGTTTTTCTGTTATCACATGAATAACATTTTTCTTGCTCTCTTTGTCCCTCCAGACCTCCCACAGCACAATGTTTGTCAGAAAGAGGAGGTTCTCATTGAGCAGAAGCTCTGTAACCAAGAGATGAAGTCCAATTTGGACCAGGAGGACCTACAACCTCTACAGATTAAAGAGGAACAGGAAGAACTGTGCATCAGTCGAGACCTGGAGGACCTAAAACCTCCACAGATTAAAGAGGAACAGGAGGAACTCTGCACCAGTCAGAAGGAGAGGCAGTTTGTTGTAAAGCAGGAGACATTTACCATTATGCAACTTCAGTGCAAGTCCAAATTTGAAGAATTATCTGAAGAAATATTCAGAGTCTTTGAAAAAGCAGTAATCCAGCATGAGGAAGAGATTGATCGTCAGCACAGACTGCTGGATATCATCTGGAAATCTGGAATACAGTTACACAATACAGGTATGTAAAACTGCCCAGTCCTAATGAATTAACAAATGAAAATGACATTTGGAGAATCCTAATGAGAGCTCTACATGACATTTACTTCTCAGGGAAACTGTAGTCAGCAAATATTACACAGCAATAATGCAATTGTTTTCTGGTCTGTAAACACATGACATTAAACCTAAAATATGTCTAAGAAACAGCAGAATTGAACTTAAATTATTACAGTCCAGCAGTGTTTCCTGAGCCTGACGGTGGTGAGTGTCTTGCCTGTTGGCTTCTCTTTATTTTCATTTTCTTGTTCTGTACAAATGAAAATTAGACAATTTGTAAATAACTGTTGTGCCTCCTCTTGAAAGAAAGTGTGGGTCAAAGCTGGTACTCCTTTGCTTGTTGGGAGGTACTGTTGTAACATTACCAGCAGAAGAGAATTCGGTGCTCTGACCAGAAATGTCTCCCCTGGCTTACATTAATCATTCTCGTAAAAACATTTGTTTTGGACTGGCTTTCAGACGTTTGGGGTCAACACATGTTCATCTTTAGTTTTAGGCAGCTTAACACTTGCTCATAAGCTTTTATTGCACTTACAGTGGGCTAATGACTGATGTTATCTTCATTTTATCTGTGTTCTCTACTCACATTTCATAGGTATGTGTTTCCTGAAATGTATTGATGGCATCAAATTCTAAATGAGTGGAAACGCTTTGCTTAGTTTCTACATATGTTGCTTTTGTTATATTTTCATACAGGTATAGGGTGTCAATGATTTACAAATCATAACATCCTGTTTGTGTTTAAATTTTACGCAACATACCAAATTTGTTGGAAAATGAGTTGTGTGATCTGAATTAAAGCTGCAGCTATGGGATTCTTAATGCTGAAGTTTATATGACCAGCTGGTGGTTTTAATAGAAAAGACATCGAACTGTTGGAGTAGCTGAAACTACAAAACCCCTCCATTTACACTGATTGTAAAGCAGTGTTGCAGAGTGATGTTTCTTCTGCCTAATAAACAGCCTTTTCTGAGTGCAGACATTGGTGTTATGTTGACGCTTATTTCTCCACTGGACTACAGAGACACAAACCAAACAACAGCATCAACCGTTGATGTGACCTGGAGTTTCTCATTTTATCTGACCGCAGTGAGGCTCAGAGGAGTGTAAAAGAGTCAAACACTCTGGTGCACCCAAATAATATTTGACATTTTCACAACCTCCTAATGGTTTAAACTTGTAAGTACTTGCTGTTGACATTACTGATCTCTTTCTTGTGTCCCTTTGTCCCTCCAGACCTCCCACAGCCATGTGTCTGTACAGAGGAGGAGGTTCTCACAGAGCAGCAGCTATGTAACCCAGAAAGGAACACCAGTCTGGACCAGGAGAACCCAGAGCTTCCACAGATCCAAGAGGAACAGGAGGAACTCTGTACTAGTTTGGACCAGGTGGACCCAGAGCCCCCATGGATTAAAGAGGAACAGGAGGAACCCTGTACTAGTTTGGACCAGGAGGACCCAGAGCCCCCATGGATTAAAGAGGAACAGGAGGAACTCTGCACCAGTCAGGACCAGGAGGACCCAGAGCCCCCATGGATTAAAGAGGAACAGGAGGAACTCTGCACCAGTCAGGAGGACGAGCAGCTCGTACTGAAGCAGGAGAAGGACACGTTTATGGTGACTTCTACTTATGAGGAAAGTGACCACAGTGAACCAGAACCAAACAGTGACCGGCTTTTCTCTCACATTTCTCCTTTTGTTGAGAGCCGAGATCAGGCAGGAAGTAAGCATGTGGAGTCAGGATTATCCAGAAATTCAGAGCTGGAGCAAAAGAAAAGACATAACAGAAACAGCAATTACAAAAACACTGTCGACGTCTCATCCATGTCAGAGAGTCACTGTGATACTGACACAGAGAAAAAGACTGTAATATGTGACGTCTGTGGAAAAGCCTTTAAAGATAAGTCCAATTTAAAGAGACATTACAGAATCCACGCAGGTGAGAAACCATTTGCTTGCAAAACATGTGGGAAAAGTTTCAGTCAAAGTAATCATTTGAAAGTCCATGTGAGAATCCATACAGGTGAAAAGCCATACCTCTGTAACAGCTGCGGGAATAGATTTAGTGACCATACAGCATTAAAAAGACATACAGCAATCCACACAGGTGAGATGTATGCTTGTGAAACATGCGGTAAAAGTTTCAGTGGCAGCGGTCCTCTGAAAGTCCACATGAGGATACACACGGGTGAAAAGAAGTACCTTTGTAACACCTGTGGAAAAAGGTTTAGCGACCTTTCAGCACTGAAACGGCATACAGCAATTCACACGGGTGTAAAGCCGTACCTTTGTAACACCTGTGGAAAACATTTTAGTGACGTTTCAACATTTAACAGGCATACAGCAATCCACACAGGTGAGAAGCCATACCTTTGTAACACATGTGGGAGAAGATTTCATACGTTATCACACATTATGCGTCACATGGCAATCCACACAGGTGAGAAGCCGTATTCTTGCAACATATGTGGGAAATGTTTCAGTCAAAGTGGTAATTTGAAAGTCCACATTAGAATCCACACAGGTGAGATGTCATCATCCTGAAACATCTGTAGGAAAAAATAATCTGAGAACTAAGCTTGAAACATTAAGAAGTGGTTCAGGTTAAAAGTAGATCTTTGAGATCAGAAATTCTACCTGCTGGTGCTGTACGACCAGCATGCTACAAAAATACTATACAGGGATTGGAGGGACTCTGAGTCTCCATCGAAGTGCTGATGGATGAGAAGACAGCAAAATACAGGCTGTCAGAGTCAGTCACTGTTGTGTTTGAAAATTTGTGGAAATTTGTGAGCAGTTTGACGATTTGACCAGATGGTGGAGAAGGGCTGCATCCATCTGACGCTCAAAGAAACAGCTGGAAGCAGCCAGTCAGATAAATGCTACGTTTTAAACTCCTTCATTTAAGAATAAATGTGAAATGTAGAAGGTGCTTTTGTTTCTTAATTTTTTTTCAGAGTATTGTTTTGTTTGAAATAACACTAAGGTATTTTTATCACTTGATAGTTGACAAGTTTTTGTTCTTTTGTTCATAATCACTTTAATATATGTGCTGCTAGTTCGACTTGTAGCGCTTACTGCTTACTGACTGGAAACACTTTTAATCTTTATACTACTGTTTACTGTTATGCACTAAAACAGCACAAAGTCAGATTTCTTGTATGTGAAAATGTACTTGACAATAAAACCTTTCGTATTCTTATTCTGATGTTTTTTTGTTTTTTTTTTAATGAAGTTGAGTGTTTTTGTTGTTGGTTTTTTTTGTTTTTTGTCATTTTAGCAGTTGGGCTGCAAGGTGGCGCAGTTGGTAGCACTGTTGCCTTACAGCAAGAAGCAAGAAGGTCGCTGGTTCACGTCCCGGCGAGGACACCCGGGATCTTTCTGTGTGAAGTTTGCATGTTCTCCCAGTGCAGCGTGGGTTCTCTCTGGGTTCTCTGGCTTCCTCCCACA